AAAAAAAAAAAAACCTTATTTTTAGGCCCCGAAATAGTTTTTGGCGGGGGCTGAACCTGGAGGTGTTCGGCCCCCGAACGGGACCCCGAACGCCCGAACGTTTGGGGGCCAGCCCGGGGCCCCCCGAACGTTCGGTCAGGTAACCCTGTATATATATATATATATATATTTTTTTTTTCATTCTTTTTGGCCCGGCCGGGCAAGTGACCATGGCCCACTCTGGTAGCCTAGCTATTTAGTATTTTTAGTAATTTTTACTGTATGTAGTACCTAGTATGTACGTTCCACCAAGCGGAATATAATGTGGAAAAACAGAAAACGGAGTGAAAAAAGTGAAATGTATTAAATTTGTATCTAGGCTGCGAGCCGGGTCACCTGGGTCGCACCCTTGTTTGCCCAGGCGGCCCAACCATGCAAGGACCAAAGAAGGTCCCAGCCAAAACAAAAAAAGAAAGAACTCCAATTACAAAATCCGAATAATCTTTTAAAAAAACTACGTCATGCAGAAAAATAAACTGAACAACTTTTGTCTCAGGGTCAGACCGAAATTCTTTATCGTTAGGGCCGGAGGCAAGCGGCGGGGGACACACGCAGCGCAATGCAGGCACTGCATGCATGCCAAAACTCGCTGGCGGAATGACACGGACACAAGGGGTGTAGCTCGCATGTGGGCGCGGGATGGGTCACTGTCCAACAGGGGTATTCCCACGCCCCTTGCTATGGCTGGCCTTGGTCGGTGGGAGCCGGCAATCCTCGTTAGGTCACGAAGGGAAAGAGCTGCATGTGTGGCTGACCGCGAGGCAGGGTTTGCTAGCCGCCAACATACCATAAATGAAGCTTGATCAGGGGCTTTGGTCCCCTGGTCTCAGATATACGTAGTATGGCTGGAGTCAGCGGGATGCTGTTTTCCTTGGAAGAACGATTTTCGTGGAGAGTCTGACATGGAGCTGAAGCCGCTGTTTGTTGGAAGACGCATATATGGACTGCTGCGCCTCTGGTCTTAGTGCCCCTCGCTATTGTGAAAGCGTGGGCGACTTCGGCACGATAGGGTTGCTTCCAGTGAGGTTTTCAGCACTTATGTCTTCAATCAACGATTCAGCTCCAGAGAATGCATCTGCTGGCAAGCTTTTTCCTCGTCATGATAGAGGAAAACCTTTGTGTTTGTCTTTTGTTTTTCATTACTGGAGTCTTACGTTCTTGGTTGTTTTGGCGGATTGTGGAGTTGTTATTTTTGCCCTTGGTAGTTTCTTGGGATTTTTCAGTTTTTACGTTGTAGGCGTAGTTGCTAGCTGTTTGTTTTCTTAGTTTTACAGTTTTTTTTTTTTTTTCGGTTTAATTCCGCTGAATTACACCGAATTGCTTGCTGTTCTACTTGATAGCTATTGTTGGGTTTGTGTTTTGGTTGATTGTGTCGTAATGTGGTGAGATGAACGTGGGAGTGTCGCTTTGCGAAGACCCTGTCATTGTGGGCGCCAGGTTTTTTAGGGGGTTGATGCTGACTGGGGGAGCAGTTTGCCCTAAATTGCGAGGAGGTGGGTGGGTTTGCAGGGTCCTTTGACCCTTGCCGCGCGGGTGGTAGGGCACTTCTGCAGGTTCGTTAATGTTTTGGGTTGCGTTCATTTCTTTGTGAGTGCTTGGGGTTTCTTCTATCATCCTTTTCTTGTGGGACGGAGGAGCGTTGCTCCGTATAATTTTCATCATGGATGGAGGTGAAGATCTCATTGGGGAGTGCATGCGGACGGGGGTGCGGATTACTCTAAATCGCGAGGAGGTGGGTGGGCTTTCTCAGGGTTTGCTGAAACACCATCATGGAGGTGCCGCGCGGGAGGTAGGGTATTTCTCAGTGTTTGCTGAAACATCATCATGGAGGGAGTTGGTGTTTTAGGGTAGGTAACGTAGGGGGTGGAGTGAACTGCTTTGAATCGCGAGGAGGTGGGTGGGTTTGCGGGGTCTGTGCTTACAGATCCCTGCCGCGTGGGTGGCAGAGTGGATCTGCAGGGTTGGGCTATTTTCAAGGGTGATAGGCTTTGCTTTTGTAGGTTTTGTTTTGTTGTTTTCTTTTTTTTGGATTATTTGCATAGTGCACAATTAGTTTTTCGTCATTTCGCATGGTCAAAGGAGACAGTTTACCCCGTGAACCTTCTCTATGATGTAAGGGATGCCGGACCCGTTTTCCGGCTTGTATAATTCAAAAGCAGCCGTCGTATGAACCAGGCCGGAGTGCCTGGATCATACGACATCTGGCTGCCCCTTGGTAAAAAAAAGAAAAAAAGAAAAAAAGAAATCTTTACCAAATTTAAAATAAAAATAAAATTAGATTTTTTTTAAGGAAGATTTTCATGCCACCTGGGCTTGCTGTCCGGAGGGGTCTGACGCCCGGGGTACCCGGGCGTGCAAAACAAACAAACAAACTTTTTTTTGGTTTGGTTTTCTGCGCTCTCCCAGAGGACCCCAAATCTGGGCTCATTCTTTTTTTGCAAGTTGGCTTTCAAGGGGGGGGAGGGGGACATAAGTTGGTTTTAAAGGGCTGAGAGAGGTTTAAAGGGGGGTGCCTTAGTGTGATTCTGTTATTTTCTTTTTTATCTCTGATTCCGTAAGGAATTTTAATGTGACCCTCAGCCAAAAGTCATTTGTACTGCAATTCTACACAATGTTTTTTTTTTTCCGGAATTTTTTGATTGTTTTTTTTGCGCTGGAGCTGCCCGAAGCCGTGCCCGGGGGTCATGCCCGGCCCGGCACCCGGGCATGGGTGCCCGGGTGCCCGGGTGCCCGTAAAAACAGTCTAGATTTTTTTTTTTTTTTTTTTTTTTTTTTAATAGAAAACAACTTTCCATTATAAAACCGAGAAACGGGCCCGACGTTCCTCACTTGAATGCCGTAGCCGAACCGGGCTGGGAAAGACACTCCCGGGCACCGATTCCTCGAGTAAGTGCTTCGGATTCTTCTAGGCAAGTCTTTGGGGTTACTACAATCCCATCCCCAACTACGGTCCTCCCGCAATGAAGGCACCTGTCTCATCTTGTCTCTCATAGACCCCAAGTTCCGAAAAGGACAAAAGTTACCTAAACATTTAGTTTTTTTTTGACCCGGTCGGGCAAGCCGTCCTGGGCAAGCCGTCCTGGGCCAGCCGTCAAGGGCCACTCTGGTAGCCTCGAGTTGTATTTATTATTTGGTATTTACTATTTAGTATTTACTACTTAGTATTTATGTTCTGTCTAGGCTACCAGAGTGGCCGGGGACCGCTGAATGTCCCGACCGGTATGGCTTCTGTTTTGAAGACCCAGTCACCGTTGCAGTGTCAAAGGCATCTGGCTGCTACAGCCGAGGTCAGCGGGTCGATTCCGTATGGCTGCGGATCGATTAAGGGGCTGCAACCAGGGTTGCCGGCGTTCGGGACGGGCCGAATGCCCGAACCCGAGCGCCCGAACGTTCGGCACCCCCTCTCGACGCGTTTGGCCATTCGGCCGAACGCGGATCCAAAAAAATAAAAATAAAAAAAATTCCAAAAATCTGAAAAAAATATATGTTATGCAGAAGAACAAACTAAACAACATTTGCCTCAACGTTATATCCAAATTCTTTACCAAATTTGAAATAAAAATCAAATACTAAAAATAAATAATAATAATTAAAAGGGCCTTTACCCGATATAGGCCTCAGGCCTTGTAAAAATAAAGCAGCACGGGCCTTGAAAAAGTAAAGCATTGTGAAAAGGTATCTCGTCAGAGCTCAGAAACGTGAAAGCAGGTCAAAGGTCAAGTTCTCTATCAACAGGCATATTTAAAACTAAGGCAAAGGGCATTGTCAAAAGACTTACCTGTTCACCAGGAGATGTGTATGTCATGTCT